CACTTACAGGTAATAATCAGTGCTTCATATAAAGGAGAAGAGAAGGCTAGGTTAGATAATGTTGAGGGAGTTTGTCATCAGGATTGCGGTGGGTGTGGAATTCTCTAGTCAGAAAAGACATATCTTTTTTTTTTTTTTGAGAGATTTTCACTGTAGGGCACGTACGCTCGCCAGACAGACAGAGACATAGAGACAGAAAGCGAGAAATCCCCCCCCAGGGGGGATGGTCACGCCACAATCCCTTCTCCTCCATTCTCCTCTCGGGATCTTGGGCACGCACACACACGCGCCCGGCGTGAGTTTTAAGCCACCGGGTCCGGGACACGAACCGTGGTCGACTACGTGGGAGTCCAGCGACATAGCCATTACGCTAACTGCTGGTTCCCAGAAAAGACCTTTCTGAGTGAGCCAGCTGTGTGAAAGTCTAGGACGAGGATGTGCTAGGCAGAGGGCAGTGTTCTGCCTATGCACATCCATGCATTATTTTACTCTTTTTTTTTTTAAGAGGTTTTTGCCTTAGAGTGCATGTGCTCACCACAGAGAGGGTGACAGAGACAGAGAGAGGGAGAATGAGAAATCATCCCCACAGGGGGGATGGCAACTACACAATCCTCTCTTCTTCATTCTCCTGCCAGTATTTTGGGCACGCACACACACACACTAAGCATGATTTTCAAGCCACTGGGTCCTGGACTCAAACCATGGTCAGCCATATGAAAGTCCATAGACGTAACTACTGTGCCATCTGCTGACCGTATTCATCATTTTACTCTTAACCCCTTGGGATACCATGGAGCAGAAAGTGGAGTACCCATCATGATAATCATTTTCATAGTTATTATGTATGGAAAAGAAAATGTACAAACAAGTGTGTGGCATATTTCAGATGCTTAATAAGTAAAGAGTCTTATTCTTATTTAAGGCTTGCTATACTTTTGGAAGTGATTTTCTTATTGAGAAAAAGTTGCATACTATATCTAATATTTGCTATTATTTAAATATAATGTAAAATATAATGTAAAAGGCGGGGTTTTTTTTTCCCGCTTTGTCATTATCCTGTGCCAGTTTTGTTATTAGACAAAATTTTATCAAAGATTATTTATGAGCAAGCCAGTGGTGTGGTGGTTAAGGTGGCCGGATCCCATGTGGTTACCATGCAGTTTGATTCCCTGACCAGACCAGCAACTCCCAAAACATTCCAGGCACATGTGAGGGCATGCCCACAGTCTGGAAAGGAGGGAGAAATGGAAGAGAAAGGGTTGCAGCATCCCCATAGGGATGTTTCCTCACTTTCTTTCTCACTGTCTTTCTGGTGAGCATACACACCTTCCGGCAAAGTTTAAAGAAAAAATGTAAGTGTTTCTAAACACCTTGTTGATCTGCATGAAGCCGCTTTTACAGTATTCTGTTTGTACTCAACATAGCAAACTCTCAAGTTTCTCTTCCTGCCAAGCACCTTATTTTAATGTCAAAAAATTTCTGATTTTAGAAGTATTTTAGGGCCAACCAGGTGGCATGATAGTTAAGGTGACTGGATCCTACATGGCCAACTGCACAGTTTGAGTCCTGGCCCAGCACCTTGAGAAACACACCCAGCAATGCATGCAAATGCATTCCCAAAATCCTGAGAGGAGAGTGGAGAAGGGATTGCAGCATAGCCAATCTCCCCCGGGGGACAATTTCTCATATTTCCTTTCTCTCTCTCTCTCTCTCTCTCTCTCTCTCCCTCTTTCTCTCTCTCTTTAGTGAGCACACGTGCCCTGTAGCAAAACCTAAAAAACAAAACAAAAACAAAATAAAACTAATATTTTAAATGTTTAATGCTGTAAATGGTATAACAAGTGTACTTCTTAAAGAATTTACTTAAATACATATTTTTAAAATGTCCTCTTATTTTTGGTGAGGAATGTAAAGTAGAGCTACAGGTATTTTGAAGTTTTTCCTTACTGAAATATGCACATAAGTTCATATTCTGTCTGTGTATATGTCACCCGTGGCCTCTGTGCTCAGGTTACAGAGGCAGGAGCTGTGTGAAGATAAAAGACCAGGTTGATGAAGGGAGCATGTAATTACTTCTAAAATAGAAACTTCAGGTATTTTCTTAGGAAGTGAGGAAATCTTAGATTCTTTCTTAGGAAATCTTTATGCAGCTCACTATCGATGTGAATTTGCGGACAGTCCAGCCTCGCAGTGTGCTGGCTCTTCCTCTGGTGCCGCACGTGAGAAAGGAAAACACAGAGTAGATGAGTGATGGCATGGTAAGGATTTTACTTCATAAAAGAATCATTTGATAGCATGTTATGTAAAACACGAACACAGGTATTGTCTAGTAGCCAAAGAAAGTCACCTATTCAGTGCACAGTAATGAAAAAGAAAAGAGAGGCCGGGAGAAGTTATACATCTTAGCAGGTGTCTGCAACAGTGAACAGAGAGCCACTAAGGGAGCTGGATTACTGGTGCTATTGGAGGGTCCTCTGAGCCCTGAGGAGAGTCAGGAAATAAAGACAGGAGAGGAGCAAAGGAGGGAATGAGAATGGGAAAGGCAAGGAGTACAGGGCATAAACTAAGGGAAAGGAGAAGCTGTGCTCAGTGGAGGGTGCAAAATAAAATGATCCTTTAGGAAAAGGAAGGGTAGGGATTAAAAATACAGGAAAAATACAGACTGGGCTTCCAGTACTGAAACTTGTTAGGGACGTAGAGCACAGCTGCCTCACCCTTACTGTCTTTCTCACTATCGGCAAGGCATTAAAGACTGAGGGGCCCAGTCATGAGAGCAGTGTTTTATCTGCCATAGATGAATATAAGAGTAGATGGCAATCATCAGACATCGCTGGTTCACAGGATACTATCTCGTGGGCCAGAGTAAGAGAATTGGGCAGAAGAAAATAGGGCTAGTTATGGAGAGCACAGGGAACATTGAGCCTGGTAAAAAGTCCATTGGAAAATGTGTAAGTTCTAATGCAGTTTCCCTCTGGGAGACCTAGTAGAGAAGAACTTGAGTCTAGATTCCAAAAGGGCAAGTGCAGTTGAAAGAAAATGGAAGCAGACTCAGCATTGACCAGAGCTTTTCAAATTGTGTTGTTAAAGAGGCAAATCTTGATTCAGCAGGTATGGTATTCTGCATTTCTAAGGATTTCTTCTGGAACCAGTGAATAATTGTGCAAAACATAACAGGATTAAGGGAAGAGATTATCTTGCTTTTATTTCTCAGGATGTTTCTCCCCAAAAGGAAGAAGCAATAGAGAGAGAGATAGACATTTTAGATGTAAGATGCTGCTATTAAAGAAGAAAGAAGTAGTGGGAATAATCCTTAAAAACTGTGCCAAAATGGAAGAACCAGGGTCACAGATTAAGAGATTACTTTTGAAGAGAGAAAAGGATGGGGAAGGGGAAGAGAGAAGGAGAGGGTAAGAAAAAGGTTAGCTAGATAACTTAGAGTAAATGTTGAGGAAATGCGAGAATTCACTTCTGTCACTTCTGGCTTTAGTATATTTGTACTGAAACAGAAAGTGAGTTTACTGCTGCTCCAGAGATTACTGGCAAAAGGAGGGATTAGTAAAATTAGGATGAACTGTAGCCAGTCATGTCTCCCCTCCAAAACTATCAGGCATCAGAAATCTGCATTGTATCAATATTATTTCCTCAATGAGATTAATTTGAATGTAGACACATTGGCTGTGTGTTTTAAGATAATGAATTATTTGATAAGATATTTGTTTAATAAAACTTCTTTAAAGACTACCATGACATACCAAACCAAACTAACTTTGGAAATGAAAAAAATATATAAAGTTAATTCCTTTAATACTAACATGGTTATTTTCAGTCAATATTGAACTGAATTTAAAATGTAAAGGGCTATTAATATTTAGCAATTGCATGCCAGTTCATTTTTTCTTTTTGATAACCATACTTCTATGTTGAAAGCTGATTATAAATTATTTCTTAGATGTGTTTTATATGCCTTTTTATAGGAGTGGGTCAAGAAGCTTTAATGTGACTAAACTAGAGAATACCAGAAATGTAGGCATGCCTGTAGCCCACATAGGTATGGGAGAAATTAATATTTAATTATATATTATTCTAAGAGTGTCTACCCAAGCTGGTTAATTCTAAATACTTTCTCTGATGAGGAAAGCATTTAGCTGAACCATCATCATAGCTCAGCCACAGTGAACTGCCACCACAACTCTATACTTCCTAAACTAGAAGATAGGCGGGATAGTATATAAATAACATTTATAGTATATGGTGTATTTTCTTTGTTTTATTTGTAGTATATGGTGTAGACAATTCTGATAGGTTACATTAAAGACAATTCTGATAGGTTGCATTAAAGGTACATAGTTGCATTCCACCATCTGCTTTGACATTTTTGCTTGCAGGACAGTGATTTGCACTCTGATTAAAAATCATTTGTCTCGGGAACCAGCAGTTAGCATAATGGCTATGTCACTGGACTCCCACGTAGTCGACCGCGGTTCGTGTCCCGGACCCGGTGGCTTAAAACTCACGCCGGGTGCGTGTGCGTGCGTGCCCAAGATCCCGAGAGGAGAATGGAGGAGAAGGGATTGCAGCGTGACCATCCCCCCTGGGGGGTGATTTCTCGCTTTGTGTCTCTATGTCTCTCTCTGTCTGTCTGGCGAGCGCACGCACCCTACAGTGAAAATCTCTCAAAAAAAAAAAATCATTTGTCTCAGTCATTCAGCATGTTCATGTTGGTATATGTGGACTTTTCTATTTTAGTTATAGGCATTTGAAACATAATCTTACTTCTGAAATCTTAACTGCATGTTTGATTAAACCTGTTTGCCTTCAATATATGTCTGTCGTGTTTCTGTACTAACCAAAAAAAAAAGAAGTAAAAAAATATACCCCAAACCTGAAGTAATCATTTCCAAAGCTAAGAGGAATCAGCTCCATACTATCTCTGCGTGAATGTATGCGTGGTTTTTGTCATATTTACAAATAATTGATTATATGTTCCTTTTGCCTTTTAGAGTCTCCCAAGATGACTTCTCACTTGATGGTAAAATCTTTTATATTTTTACTTGAATTATTAATTATATGTTATATGAAAAATACATTTATCATCTTGTTCCAAAACCCTTTCAGCCTACTCTTGAAGAGAAAGATTCTGTTCCAAAGAAAGCAGGAGGTGTGGAGGATGTGCAAACACCAAGACCAGGTAAATTTTGCAATACATGTTTAACTCAGGAAAAAATGTAGATTGAAATATTTGAAATGCTCGTAATCTTCTCCTTTCTAATTCTTCATTTAGAATTTTTTTTTTTGAGAGATTTTCACTGTAGGGCGTGTGCACTCGCCAGACAGACAGAGAGAGACATAGAGACAGAAAGTGAGAAATCACCCCCCAGGGGGGATGGTCACGCCGCAATCCCTTCTCCTCCATTTTCCTCTCAGGATCTTGGGCACACACGCACACGTGGCCGGCGTGAGTTTTAAGCCACCAGGTCTGGGACGCAAACCACGGTCGACTACGTGGGAGTCCAGCGACATAGCCATTAAGCTAACTGCTGGTTCCCTCATTTAGAATTTTGATGAAAGGATTTGACATAAATAATGCAGATATCATTGTTGATATCTGTGTTTGAAAAGAAGATATTCAAAGCATAAGAAAAAAAAGAGATTTTTAAAAATGTAAGCTTTAGCGAACCAGCAGTTAGTGTAATGGCTATG